AAATTTTATAATTGTGGGCTGGTATACGTTTACTTTGCTACTAATTGATTAAGCAAGGTATGTGATGCTAAAGAAAAAAAAAGAAAGAACAAAAAAAGGAAGGTGATATTGGGATTGATATCAAATATTGCTCACTACGTATAGAATATGTTTACTTATCAGTAATGAGAATGGGGAGAAAGAGAATTATTTCGATTCTTTGTTTCCTTTGCGTTTACTTACTCACCAAGGAATAAAAAGTAAGTGGACTCCACCTCAAAATTGGTAATTATTCCCATACAATCAATTACTCCCCTTATTGATCTAATTTTTGGTTTTTGGTTTTGGTGGGAATGATTACTGACTTCCCCGATTCCTTACTTCTCCCATTCTAAGTAAGTAAACATGCCAATAATGGGAGACTGCGTAAGAAAGAATAATATAGCTAGAGAAAGATGGAGGATGAGGTTGGAAGAAAAGGAAAGGTACTCAGTCTAGGGGAAAAGCCATAGACCACGACTGGAAACACCTAAAACAATTCTACAACAATGATGCGATGGAAGTAATTGGCGGGATCCTTTTGAGAGGATTTTGTGGGTCCATAATCATCAATCCATCCCTTGCTTTGGATTAGATTTTGAATATTATATAATATATTCACATTTCAATCCAAATTGTATCCAACTAACAAGACCTTATATATATTTCCCTTCTATTAAGGGATCTCGTAAATAATTTTATTTGAGGGACACTCTTTAGGGTACCTTACGAATTTTTTTTCCAACAATTCAAATCATCTATTTTTTAAGTATACATTCATAGATCATTCTTGCAAAAAATTAGACAAATTAAAAAAACGTTTTGACATCCAATTGTATCCTACAAAATCAATGAACACGGTGCTTCAAGAAAGTACTAAAATTTCAATAACACAATCGAGTGGTCAAATGATATCGGATTCAAGTGAGTTTTTGTAGAGATGATCTTTGAATGAATATCTAAAACATAGAAAGTTTGGATTAGTGAAATACAATGCAAATTGGGCCCTACAAACAGGGACGGACCCAGGATTTTAAAATGGGTTGGGCTAAATTTACCTTGCATATAAACCTATTAAGTCCATCTCTAATGCTAGATAACTCAAACCCAAATTTTCCTATCTAAAATAGAACTATTCATGTATATCTCGTACTCAACTTTATTAATTGTTTAAAATTGATTTAACTCTAAAATAATTTTATGTTTAATTTTTTCTTAATTTAATTTTAGTTTATATCATCGTAATTTATTTTCTTGATCATTTAACTTTAAAAAAAATTCAAATTTGGGAAACAAAATTTTGATGCCAGCAACTTCATGCCACATACAAGGAAACTGTATCGGTAGGTAGCAGGAGGTAAAGCCACTTGAAGTTGAGGTTTAATTTGTTTTGGAGTTCTGGGTTCTTTACCTCTTAACTAGTCATTGGGTGACATTCTTTACATTCCCTTAAATCTAGCATTACCTATACCTTAGGAATTCAAGCGTCCACAAACCAAATTCAAGTATGATGATATTAATGCAATTATACCTTAGGAATCCTTCGACAGGGCTTGGTAGATTTGGCCTTATGAAGAGGGGGTGAAAGCTATCTTGTTGAAACTCACAATTAAAATTCTCCATCTCATATTTAATATGTTGAGTTGTTGATTATTGTTGTAATCTTGTTTTCAAGTGCTTGGTTTATGTCCCATATGATAAATTACCTACGTGCAAAAAATTTGTATTACGAAATTGTTTTGATTTTTCTGTATTCGTCTATCCATATAAAGGTAGAAAGATTCAAAATCCCAAAAATTCACTATCTTAATAAAAGATATTAAAAGAGAAGATATTCTATTAAACAACATGTTTTGCAGTTGCAGGCACCTCAAAACTGTTTTGTATTTTAGATGTAGTTTTTTCAAATAACATATATGTGATTTATCAGTATGGTACTTGAATTATTGTGCATAGTAAACTGGACAAAAAATTATAAATAAAAGGGGACTCGGCTTGTGCCTTAGTTCATTTCATTAATAAGGTAAATTCAACTTAGTCCTTCTTGAAAGAATTATTAAAAAATAAAAATAAAACCCCTTTTAATTCCACCAATTTTTTTTCCAAAATTCATATTCAATAATCAATACCAATACAATACAACCACTTATTTTTTAAACCTTTGTCAACAAAAACAAAAGGTTGTGAAGCGGACATGAAACACGCCGCCTAAAACGTTATATAAATAGAGAAAGATTCAAATGTCTGGTTTTTTTTTCGTGAAATAACAATTGCCAAAACCCTAATCGAATCGTTTCCTATTGTGGCCAGATAGAATAGTAATAATAATAAGTAAGAGAGAGAGAGAGAGAGAGAGAGAGAGAGAGAGAGAGGAGTTCTATTGTGAACCGGATGCAGAAAGAGTCGCCGACTAAAAAGGTGATATAAATAGAGGCTTGTTGGCAGGGAGTCACAGTGGGAGTTTCGCCATGGCCGAAAGCTCTTTCAAGAACGAATATCCTCAGGGTATATTTTTCCTTCGCTTTATTTTTTTCGCTTTTTGGGTTGATTAGATGGTCTGAATAGTTCTTCAAAGATGCAGAATTGATGATGATTTTTGTTTATTTTGGAAATTGGTGATGAGTTTTTGTCTAAGTTTTCTTTTCTCATTTGTTTTCTGCTGATGGTTCTGGAGTAAGATGTTTCAGAAATGACCCAAGCAGAGGAGAACACTCCAGATCCGGCACCCGTAAGAATTTCACTCAATCGGATATGTTTAGTTCCTAGGCATTCACTGGGCATACTCTGTTCTAATTTGAGCCTTTATGCAGATGATTGTTGAGAATTCTGCAACCATTGACATTCCTGACCTTGGAAAGAGGAAGTTAGTTTCCAATTTCCTTGTTTTTTAAAATCTTGATTTGTATTGCTACATTGTAACAGGATTGTTTCCTTTTCATTTATGCTTTTGATATGTGTTCAGAAATTCGTCAAGAAAAGGAAGGAAAAATTTGGGGCCCGTTGTTTGGCCATGGCCCGTTATTGGTTTAGAACCTTTTGATTACAAATTGGTAAGAATTTCACTGAATTAAATATGTTTACATCCTACACATTCGGTGGATGCACTCTGTTCTAATTTGAGGCTCCATGCATGTGATTGTGGATAAGGTTTCGGAGACCAAGATTCCTAGCCACGTTGTGACTCGTAGCTGTCTTGTGAGGTTAGTTGCCGCGTCACTTGTGCTTTACTTATCCTGGTTTTAATGGAATAGGATTCTTATTTTCTTCATTTATCCTTTTGATATATGTTAAGGATTCAACCAAAGGGCTACAAGGACCACCGACCTTGTTTAGATCCACCTTGTTTAGATGCTGTGTATTTGAGGGAGATACGCCCAGATCTTATACCAGTAAGAATTTCAGCGCATTAACAATGTTTACGTCCTATGCATTCAGTGGATATAGTCTGTTCTAATTTGAGCTTTCATGCAGGTGATGGTGGAGAAGGATGCAAGGAGTTACCTTCCTGTCATGAACATGAAGAAGTTAGTTTCAAAAATTCCTTTGTGTGCTTTAATTATCTTGATTCGTATTATAGGATTGTTCCCTTTGCATTTATTCTTTTGATACACGTTATGAAATTGGTCAAGAAAAGAAACTAAATTGTTGAAAGTGCCCACTACTTTTTCTGTTTTTTATTGTGAGTTTTCATTTTAACATGTACGTGCAATCTATAGTATGCGGACTGGATGTAGTCACGACTCATGTGTATGGTTCATCTATAGTTGTACTTTTCCACTCTCTATATATATATGTACCTAAATACATAGGGTAATGATTTTCTCACTCCCCTTTTGTACACTTACACTCCCTTTTTGTTTTTAAATTCAGCTCTCTCTCTCTCTCTCTCTCTTTGTGTATATATATATATATATTTGGTGTGGAAAAAACTGCATTAGGTGAAGTTGTAGGAGGGCTAAGGGAATGGCATTCTTGGTGATAGTTTGATTGAATTGATTAAAGTAGCGAAGGCTTTCTACCGAGTAATTTTCATATTCCATATCACTACATAAGAATTACATACAGAAAGGAAAACCTGCTTATTACTACATTAGGTGAAGTTCTAGGAGTGTTTAGTAATGGTGCTGATTATGATGGTTTGCATGAATTGGTTACCTAAGTAGAAAAATATTCCAACCAAGTAATCTTATACTCCATATTAGTTTATAGGATTTGCATGCAGACAGGAAAACGTACTTATTACTACAATGGAAAATTCGAATTTCATTGATGTTGGTAGCTTGTCATTCTCATATAGTTTTATTGCGTATCCTCTTTTTCTTTCTGCAGATACCTTGTCCGTCGTGATATGCCCATTAGAGAATTTGTTAATTTTATTCGGTTTAATATCAAGCTCAGCAGAAAAAAGCCTATAGTTGTCTGTTTCAAGAACACTAAACCTCCCACTGGTGAGTTGCAGCTCGTTTTAGTTTAAGGCATAATAATACCTTTTTCCCAAATTTGTGGTGGTATAATTCATCGATCCAATGTTACAGGTGCCTTGATGTCTGCAATCGATGAGGAAAATAAGGATGAAGATGGATTTCTTCACATTACGTACAGTGGAAAAGGAATACAGGGTAACATACAAATATGAGTCTTTCATGAATCATGCCTATGTATTACTAGCTCGGGTTGGTAGGTGTGGTAGGGGACCTAATTGCTGAATTGAAACTTTTATGCATGCATGGTTTCAACTACACACATTTATCAAAGTTACACGAAAAGACTTTGTACTTTAAATTGTGTCATACCCGTTGGATTTCATACAGAAGCAGAAATCCTTTGATGCTGGGTATGCTATTATGTGTGATTTTGGTGGTAGGAACTTTAAGATTTACTTTTCTGTAAACAAAGAACAATTATGATTCGCTTTATGAATAGTGATAACTAAAGTTTCATGAGACTCGATATGGAAGGCAAGTATGTATAACCCTAAACCCTTTTAAAATCCATATTAAATACACCCAAAATTTTGAAAATTTTGCGCTAAATGAGTATCTTTGCCGAGGTCAGGCATTTTATTTCACTTCCACTTAATATTGTTTGTGTTAGTAATAAAAGAAAAACAAAAAGCCAAGAGAGGAAAAAAAAAAGAAAAAGAAAAAAGGAACATTTGTGTGAATTGGATGCGTAAAGAGTTGGTTGGAACATATTGACCAAAACAGAGATACAAATTGAGAAGATTTAAATGCATGTAATATAGACCTCTTCTCGATAACAAAATTTCGTATGCGGTTTTGATGTTTCCTTGTTTGAAAATTGGCAGAGAACAGTCGCAGCATGTGTTTCACCTTGGATGAATGCTCATACAAGAACACATATCCTCAGGGTATGTATTTCCTTCTTCTTTTTGTCGGAGTTTTTCCATCTTTTGTAGGGCTTAATTATATGATCTGTATAGATCTGTAACGATTAGCTTAAATTTCATAGATGCAGTGTTGTGATTTATTTTGGAAATTGGTGATTTGGTTTTGCCTAAGTTATCTGTCTCATGTCTTTTCTACTGATGTTTTTGGAGTAAGGAATGACACAAGCAGAAACAAATCCAACACCAGTAAGAACTTCACAGAATCAGATATGTTTAGTTCCTAGTCGTTCACAGGCCATAATGTTTGACAGTCCTGACATTGAAGAAAATCTGTTAGTTTCCAATTTCCTTGTGCTTTAAAATGTTGATTGGTATTGCAATAATGGAACGTGATTGTTTCCTTTTCATTTGTGCTTTTGATGTATGGTCAGAAATTGGTCATGGCCCATTAGTTATTTAGACAATTGGAGGAGTGTCGCCGAGAAGGTAAGAAATTCACTGAATCAAATATGCTTATGTCCTATGCTTTCAATTGATGCTCTATGTGCAAATTTGAGTCTCCATGCATGTGATTGTGGAGAAGGCTTTGAGGAACCCTGGAAAGAAGAGGTTGGTTGCCGATTCACTTGTGCTTTACTTATCTTGATTTTAATGTAATAGGATTGTTATTTTTGTCATTTATGCTTTTAATATGGGTTGAGGGATTCTATGAATAGGTACAAAGGCCTCCTTACTTCTTTAGATGGTGATTATTTGAGGGAGGCGCGTCCAAATTTTAGACCAGTAAGAATTTCACTGCATCAAATATGTTTACTTCCTATGCAGTATGTTCTAATTTGACCTTTCATGCAGGTGATTTTGGAGAAAGATGCAAGGAGTGGCATTCCTGACATGGTCCGGAAGAAGTGAGTTTCGAATTCCCTTTTGCTTTAGTTATGTTGATTTGCATACCTACAATAGAATAGGATTGTTCCCTTTTCATTTATACTTTTAATATATGTTCTGAAATTGGGCCAAAAAGAAAAGGGAGGAGGAGAGAATAAGAAAGAAGATTGTGGAAAGCATTGCCCAATACTTGATATGTTTTCATTGTTAGCTGTGCGTTTTAGTTTGTACATGAAATCTCTAGCACTCAGATAGGATCTAGTCATGACTCATGTGAAGTGAATCGTTCATTCAGAGTTGCACTTTTACAAAATAATAAGTAAATAAAAATATTGTGGGGGGAACAATGTTTCACTGCATTAGGTGAAGTTGTAGGAGTGGTTAGGGAATGGCCCTAACCCTAAACCCTATTGTTTGGATCAGTTGGTTACCTAAGTAGTGAAGGCTTCCTACCAAGTAATTTCCTATTCCATGCCACTATATTAGATTTACATACAGAAAGGAAAACCTACTCCAAATTTATTTGTATTCATAACTTGTCTTAAATGAAGGGGTTCTCACTCACACAGTTGTATTGCCTGTCCTGTTTTTTCTGATTGCAGATTCCTTGTCCCTGATGATATGCCTCTCGGAGATTTTTTTAATCATATTCGGTTTCAAGTCAAGCGCAGCAGACAGTTAGTCGTCGGCGCAATAAACCCTATATTTATGTTTTTCAAGAACACTAAACCTCCCATTGGTGAGTTGCAACTCGATCATCTTTGTTTTACTCATTTTAGTTGTGGTTGTAATAGTTCATTGTTCCAATGGTTACAGACGCCTTGATGTCCGCAATCTATGAGGAAAACAAGGATGAAGATGGATATCTTCACATTACGTACAGTGGAGAGGAGAGTGTATGTGGATCCAATGAAGCACAAGAATGCATGCTATGTGGTAGATCTTAAGGGAAAGTGTAAAATCTCGGAGGTCCGAGTGAATGATCTGACTTGCTTAAATCCTCATCTTGTGGCCTTATTATGGTGCTGGAAATATGTAGTTTTATGACATTGAAAGAAATGGACTTGGCGGCTGCATGCATGGAGTTGAAATAATTTTAATGATTTCCCAGTTCAGTTAGAAGTGAGTTTTGTCATTGTTATTCCTTCCCTGCTTTTGGGGGCTTTAATGAAGCATCTCTTTGACCCGAAAAAAATTGTTTCTGTTCCCCATCTTCATGATTGGCAAGACGGGGAGAAAAAAAAAATTAAACCGGCTATACTATTTATTAAGAAAAAATTAGGAAAATAATAATACAGCCGAACGGCTATACTATTTGCCGTATTTTAAAAAAAAATTGGAAAAACGAAGTATCGCAGCCCGGCTATACTATTTCACTGTGCAAAATTAGGGGAAAACCTAGTATAGCCGAGCGGCTAGACTATTTCTTTTATAAAAAATAAAAGGGGAAAAAAAACCTTTATGGAGCGCGGCTATACTACTTCTTTGCAAAAATTGGAAAAAACCGAGTGTAGTCGTGCGGCGATACTATTTCTTTTTAAAAATTTGAAAAACAGGTATCGCAGCGCTGTTATACTATTTAACTACATTATATTTAAATGAGTAGCCACTTGGCCATACTATTTTATTAAAATTATGAAAAAAAGACTCTCCTAGTTGCATTAGTTTATACCCTAGCGATAAAATACGTATGTGTTTTATTTGGAAAAATTTTCGCAAATTACAACTTAAAAGTTCGGCCACTATGTAATATTTTAATATAATTTATTTAAATATATATATATATATATATATATATTATTTGTATTCAATAATATATGATAATTATGTGTATAATACGTGAATGTTCTATGTATAATACGTGAATTTCATGTGTATAATTATTTAAATATTTAAATTTATACTATTTATATTCAACTTAAAAGATCGACTATACTATTTCATTTAAAAAATTTAGAAAAAACTAAGTATCGTCGCGCGGCTATACTATATAATGTTTTAATATTTTAATATAATATTATATAGCCACTATATAATCTTTTAATATATATTATTTGTATTCAATAATATGTGATAATTATGTAAATAATACGTGAATTTTGTGTATATACTCATTTTTATGTGTGTAATACGTGAATTTCATGTGTATAATTATTTAAATATTTAAATTTATACTATTTATATTCAACTTAAAAGATCGACTATACTATTTCATTTAAAAAATTTAGAAAAAACTAAGTATCGTCGCGCGGCTATACTATATAATGTTTTAATATTTTAATATAATATTATATAGCCACTATATAATCTTTTAATATATATTATTTGTATTCAATAATATGTGATAATTATGTAAATAATACGTGAATTTTGTGTATATACTCATTTTTATGTGTGTAATACGTGAATTTCATGTGTATAATTATTTAATTTTTTTAATAGATATTATTTATATTCAACTTAAAAGATCGGCTATACTATTTCTTTTAAAAATATTGGAAAAAATCGAGTATAATAGTGTGGCCATACTATTTCTTTTTAAAAAAATTAGGAACAATGAGCATAGTAGGGCGGCGATACTTATCTTTTTAAAAAAAAAATTGGAGAAAATCGGGTACAGCGGCGCGGCTATACTATTTGTTTTAGAAAAAAAATAAAAAAATGAGTATAGTTGGTCGGCTATACTATTTATTAAGAAACAATTTGAAAAAACACTACTCTTTCTTTTAAAAAAAACTAGAAGAAAAAAAAATCCTGTATACTCGGGTGGCTATACAATTTCTTTTAAACAAAAATTGAAAAAAAAAAGAAGTATCGCCGTGCGGCTATACTATTTCATTTTGAAAAATTAGGGGAAAACCCTGTACCGCCGGGCGGCTATATTATTTCTATTTAAAAAATTGGAAAAAACCGAGTCTAGCCCGGCGGCTATACTATTTCTATTTTAAAAAAACTTTAAAAAACCGAGTCTAGCCGGGCAGCTCTACAATTTCTTTTTAAAAAATAGGGCTCGTATAACCGACCGGCTATACTATTTCCTTTTAAAAAAATTTAAAAAACCGAGTATATCCTCATGGCTATATATTTCTTTTATAAAAAAGTAGAAAAAAGAGTACAGCCGGACGGCTATACTATTTCTTTCAAAATATTTTTAAAATCCAAGTATGGCCGTACGGCCATACTATTTAAAAATATATATATATTAATTAATTACATTATATTTAAATGGTATAGCCACCCGATATATTATTTAGTTAAAAAAAATATGAAAAAAATTACCCTCCTAGTTGCATTAGTTTATACTTTATAGATATTAATTTGGTTTACCTTCGCGGCTATAATAATAAAATATGTACATGTCTTATGTTTGTACCATATCTGACCCTCCACTCATCCAATGACACGTGGATTAGAGAAACTCCCCAAGTGCCCTAGGCTCCGAACAATCAGCATCGGCTACCGATGATACTGTCTCAAAGCAGCAAACGGTCGCTACAGACCCAACATAGTCTACAATTGGTATTCCCTACCGATTCTGCAGAATCAACCTCGAACCACCCACCCGAAATATCTAAAGACTCGTGTCAACCTCATAGGGCCCTCCCACGAGTCCCACATCGAAATTAAGTACTAAGAGCATACAAAATGCTCTCTATAAATAGGCCCCTTCACTACAATACAAGGATAAGGCTTTTCAGCTTGACTTTTATACTAATATATTGTCAACAGCAAAAGCTCTTAGAAAACAAACTTACTTTGGCATCGGAGGGTCTTAGGCTGGTTCCACACCGGTTCCATAGACCTTACGAGTCTTGGCTTCCTTCTATTCAGGGTCAACATCCAAGGACAGGAAGAATCAGCATCTAGCACTCAATCGATCTCTAACGTCGTCCACATTACTTGTAAGTTGCACTCATCTCTATCTGTTTAGTTTTAGTGCCAACAGATTGGCGCCGTCTGTGGGAATCGCTTATCGATTAACCCATATCTCAACTGAGACCAAAAAATGAATCCATCTTCGGCCCTCCCTGCCGATGGCCCCATCCTTGGTATTGGTGGTGAGCCAAGTCTAGCTCCTTTGTTTCAGACGCCACGAACAGAAACGCCTGCTCGACCAACCACACTGGAGGCTCGCATGGAGACACTACAGCAGGAAATGACAAGAATGCAGGAGCACAACAATATCCTCGCCTCTAAACTTGATGACACCCAGAGGCAACTGCATGATCAGCAAACACACTCAACCCAGTTGCAGAATGGTCTGGAACGAACCATGCAACTTCGGCAAGAGAAGTCGTTCAAAAGCGTACGGAAGCCCAGTGTTCAGGATAGAGGAAAGCAGCAAGCCGCAGGCGGACCATCTGCCTCCCGAAGGCTGTTCGTGCCCACCCCAAAGGAGCGTCGTCCGCAATATCAAGTTTACTCTGATTGTCGCGATAGGATTAACGATCGACGCAAAGAGCGACAGCCTCGCCCATCCCGATCCAGGCAAAGCTTAATGATTGACGTCTGGAGGCACTTCGACCAAAATCCCCAATACGTCGAAGGTACGACATGATCGGCCTGGAAGAAACAGACGAATCAGACTATGTTCCAACTTCACTAGCGACCACAATCTCCCACCGATCGGCGGGACCTTCAAAAGAGCACCATAGCCACCGATCGAATAGAGAAAACGATCAGCATACAAGAGGCTACGAAAGGAACTCCAGCCGAACGGCAGATCGAGAAACTCAAGGCCATAATGCTGGCCGGCACACAGAGAACCGAGCGCAAGAACCCTTCGGTGACGATCTTCCCTCTACCGATCCTACCATCCGTCTCCTCCTCCAGAAGATGAACCGCATTGAGGAGGAACAAACCCAGGCTCGGACGCCAACATGGGGTAAGGTACAACCAAGGCCATTCACCAGTCGTATCCGAACGTTCAGACACGAAAAAGAGGTCCAAGCACTCCGAATATCGTTCTACTCGGGGGTGGAAGACCCTGTAACTCACATTCATACCTTCCAGTCGGCACTGGGCTGCAAAGGACTTACAGACGAAGGCCAATGCTTATTATTCCCCTCCACCCTGACCGGAGCCGCCTTAAATTGGTTTTACCGACTGGAACCAGGTACAGTTGATTCTTTCGATCAGTTGAAACAAACTTTCCTCAACCATTTTATGATTCAAACCGATCGCATGTACTCGGCCGATGACCTCTATACCGTTTGACAACAAGATGATGAGCCCCTAAGAGAATATGCGGCTAGGTTCAGCCATGAGTATTCCCGATGTCCAGAAACCGACGATAGAACAGCCTTCGGTGCTTTTAAATGTGGTCTTCGGTCATCCCAGTTTTGCTACCTAGTTCACAGCAGCAACTGGACCACATACGCAGAGCTGATGAAACAGGCGGCTATCCACGCCAAGGCCGAACATTTCAACTCCAAAGGACCAGCTTCGGCACTACCAAGCAAAGCAGCAACGACCGAACGGTCTTCAGCACAAAATTGTGACCGATTCCCAACTAATCGGATGGCAAATCAGACCCCCTACCGAACGGCACCCCCTGCCTTTGCTCCTTACGACGCAAGAAACAAGCGGAAAGATAACTTCCAGGATCGGCAGGACAACAGCAAAAGGGGCAAGGACTCTGGCAGGCGAAGCGACTTCAGAGATCCGAAAAAGAATCGGCTAGAGGAAATTTTCACTTTACTCAACACCACTTACGAGCATGTCCTCCTGACAGAAGGTGAGATGATACTGAAGCCGAATAATCGCAAACTCCCTCGGCAGAACGAGGACACAGGAGTCTTCTGCCGATACCACCAGTACAATGGCCACGATACGGAATCGTGCATCAACGAAGGAAAGCTGGATCAGTACCTAAACACCAAAACGGCTTCAGATCATCCCTCAAGTCGGCAGATCAATATGATCAGTGGAGGGGCATCCATCGCTGAAGCCAGCAACCGATCCCTCAAGAACTACGTCCGTGCCGTTCGGCACCCCCAAATCCTCAGCGTAACAGGGGGACGAAACGACAAGATCCAGCGACTCGGTTGGGAACCTATCACCTTTTCTGAAGAGGAAGAGAGAGGCATCATCTTCCCCCACT